AGGAGGCTCAGATCACTTTACAAATACCTGAAAGGGGTTGTAGTGAGGTGGGAATTAGTCTCACCTCCCTGATCAGAAGCAACAGGGGAAGGCCCTCAGCTTGCACCAGGGGAGGTTTAGGTTGGATGTTAGGGAAAATTTCTTCACTGAAAAGGTTGTAAAGCTTTGGGCTGCTCAAGGAAGTAGTGGAATAACCATCCCAGGAGGTATTTGAAGGATGCATAGATGGGACACTCAGGGACATGGTTTAGTGGTGGACTCAGCAGTGCTGGCTTAACAGTTGGACTCTACAATCTTAAAGGTCTTCTCAAACCTAAAGGATTCTAAAGGCTCACGTGTGTATGCTGTAAAACAAAACCCCCATAACTTAATTAAGTTCAGGAGCCCAGCAGAGCCTTAAATCTCTCTCCTGAGCCTAGCTTTTCTATTACTTTGAAACAGACATCATTAACCTGCAGGACCATCTATACCTACAGAGAAAGTAGAAAAAGTGTCTTGCATTTAGCAGCAGCTATGCTGTATTACCTCAGTGTATACAATACATAAAAAACTTACTAAACTCTTTTTGCCCTCTGTTTTTTTTTAGAAACCTCTACCTCCTGGTGTGAGAACTATCCCTGCAAGCAGTAAGCTGCAGCTGGGACAAGGGGCCAGTGCAGGCTGCAAGCTATGGCTCATACACAGCTACACAGCCATGCAGAGGCTCTACAGGGTGTGAGGGGGTGGCACCTGAGGGTGCTCAGAACTGAGGAGCAGGTTACCTGGCCCAGCACAGGATGGGCTGTCGACAAAATCCTGCCACACAGCAAGTAGATTTGGGAAGAGATACCAAGAGATGTTGAAAAGGCAATTAGGTGGTTTCTCCCATTCTTGTTGAGAGGATGGGTTTGACAAACACAGTCCTTCACTGCTTATTCTGTCCCCCACTGCTGAAGGACCAGCTTTCCTACACCACATGAATGCAGTCACAAGTGTTCCCAGTGTGTCTTGGGGGTGTAGGGAATAACAAAAGTCTTGGGTAGAAGTTTCCTCTTAACCAAGGAAGGAAATACACTGAGCTCTTCTGCAGCAGCTCCTGTAGTTTTCCCAGCACCAACTAATTCTCCATTCTCTATTTGGCAGCTGAGAAGAGGCCAGGTCAGTGTGGGTTCATTTTGCTGAGCTTTTGGGTTTCCATCTGTCTGCATAAGCACAGAAATGGTAGAAATGCTGTTTTGTGCTATCCCAAGCACATTAAGACAACTTAGGCAGCAAGAGCAATGTGCTGATGAGGGCCCTTCACAGCAACTAACCCTGCTGTATGCAGAAGGTGACGTTGAGAGTTTATACAGGAGGAATAAACAATTGAGAACATACTGCTGGAACAAAAGGTGCTGGAACTGGCAATCTGATCAATGATCACAACATTTCCACTGGACTTACTCAACTTAAGCATCAAGTGCACTGGTGACTGCACAGAGCTAAGCAAAACACTAGTTTAGACATATGAGCAATCTACCTTTGGCTTACTTCAAAAGCCTTTACCTTTCTGCCAAATCAAAACTCCACAGAAACTATGAATTTTAAAGTAACTTCAGAAGCTTATAACACAGAAACATAATGCCTTGAAATAAGTCCGATTTGCAAACAAATCATTAAACGCATGACTAATTTTTCTACTTTACTAAAAAAATACTGGGCTCTTTCCCAGCACTGCCTGAACATGACGAAATTTAATTCAATTCTTTTTTTTCTCCTTACAATAACTTGGAGCAAGAACAGACATAACCCTAGATTTTATTTTGTTTTGTTCCAGACAGACAATCAGTAAAGAATCCAGTGTTGCTGGGGGGATAAGCAATAATATCTATAAAGCCTGAAAGCTCAATCAATGCTATTACAAACTACTGCAGAAATTTGTCTACTGCATAGTGTTACCGTAATTGGTGACAAGCCTTCTGAATAAGGAGTCTAGTCAGTGAAAGAAAAAGCTGGATCCTTCCTGAATACTGAATTTTAGGTTTTCAGTAGCATGAAACAGAGGAGATTAAGACAGTGCTGCTCAGTACATGCATCTGGCAGACAGTTTATCAGAAGGCACAACACACCTGAAACAGCACTGCTCCAGCTGTGTATGCAACCAGGCTGCTGTGTTTGGGATGCACCTCAGCAATCCCCTGTGCTCATCAATTTTCACTGGTCTGACCAGGCTTCAGAGCTCAACCTTCCACATGCCTCTTTAGCAGGCTTCCTGGACACAAACCCTCCCTCTATTAATTACTTGCAGAAATGGTGCTCTACGACCCTCATCCTTTCCTTCCTCCTCTGCCCTTGCCTGCCCTGGACAAAAATACATCCAACAGTTAAGAGACCAGTAAGGCAAGTCCAGCTGAGTCCTGCTTTATAGAGAGGCCCAGCTCAGGAGTGCATGATCAGGAGTTGGGCTTTACTGGGTTAAGCCAAGCATACACCAACTGTACTGCTAAAATATTCATGGGTTTGCACTTATGTTACATAAAAAGAATAAGAGATTGCAGTTTGAGAAACCAGTGCTTACGCAGCTTGCATACACCCTCCTTCCCTGTCACCCAGTGCAAGTGACAGTGCACTGCAACAGCCCTGGTTCACTTTCATAACAGCCAACAGATGTAGGATCCTTCCTTTCCTGGGGCAGCACTTGGCACCTGTCCTGTTCAACCATGAGGTCTCCATGGGTCAGCCCCTTTCTTCAGCCTGGTAAGGACCCTCTGCATAGCCTAGACCTCAATGGTATCACTTCTCACCTTGCCTCAGTTTGGGGCCACTCACAGCTCAATAAAGATGCCTCAGTCTCCTCTGGGTCACTGATAAAGGCAGATTTGACAGGACAGATGGTAGGACAGACCCTGCAGCAACATCACTTGCCACCAGACTCCAGTAACTATCTCAATGGGGAATTCAGAGACTGAACATAAACCGCAGAAAACTATCTTGGGAGGCTGCTAACAGACACTCACTGGGATCAGCAGGAGGGTCAGGAGCAGCTGCTGGGCTCCCTCAGCACAGGGTGCCCACATATCTCAGTGCCTGGACTTCCTGAGCACCTGTGGTTGATACCTCCAGAACCAAAGTTGGAGGCAGTAAGAGCAGAGAAGCTTTGGATACACTAGGAAACAGCATCTCATGCAGCTACAACATGCAGCTCTTTCTGGAGGCTCTATGAAAGTGACATTACAATAGATATTTGCAAAGATGTCCAAGGCACACACTGCCACAGCACACAGAGCTCTGGGTAGGCATGTGTGCATTCCTGCTTTCTAGAGCCTTTGCCATTTCACTGTTTTCATATGACATCCTGGTCACCAACTACTCAACACAGACACTCCAGATAAACAAAACTGACAGTAACCACTTGGGAAGGGGAGGATGCCTTGGAGAGGACAGAGATCAGGAACAGGCAGGTAGCATCCTGCACAAATGAGCCCCTTCTCCCCCCTTCCACAAGACACTGCTGTAATGATGTTACCAGGTGGAAGAATTGTTGTAAATAGGAGTTAAATGTTCAGACAAGCACTACACTGCAGTGTCATGCATTGACATAACTTTAAAAGGATACTTGTTCATTTTTTTTTTATTTCATAGAAAACTCAGGGGAAGTGATTGCTCCATCATTCAAGAACACTAATAATATTCAAATTTTGCCTGAAAGCTCTGTCTCTCTCTTGTTTGTGACTCTGCCTGGACAAGTCACTCATGGACAGAAGTAAATCCCTCCTCCTGAAGGGGAAATGGTACAGATGGCAGCAGGACTCACAGAGCTACACATCAGTGTGTCATGGGAAGGACCAGTGAAAACTCGCTTGGACTCTGGCTAAGAAACAGCTGCTTCTGAGAGTAGCATGTAGTAAACACTTTACTCTGGTGCTGTCACCTTAAAGAGCATTCAGGGTGTTACAAAGAGTAAATACACATGGTTATGCACAAGAAGTGCATGTGTACAAGTTGTACACAGTATGTCAGAGACTACACTGCTGGGGAGAATTTAAGAAAACTTTGTAAGTGATACGAGAAAGGCACTATGTAAAATACCCCAAAAGGAAGAGGAGCTATTGCTGTACTAGAGCTAGTGGCCTGTCCCACAGGCAGAACAGCACAGGCCTGTGGATCTCACAATGCACTATGGTACCAATGATGGGAACTGAAAGAGACACGAGAAGGGTTACATTAAAAGATGCTTACAGGAAGGCAGACCGTCACTGCTCATTGTGAAGATAACTGGGTGGCACTTCAATGCATGCACTGCCTGATGAAACTAATTTATGAATGGGCTGAAGACATTTAGAAAGTACTAAGAAGACCTAAAGTAAGGCTCCTGTGGGTGTGCATCCACCACACCTCCCTCCAATGGCCTGTGTCCCCCATACATGCAGGGAGCCTGCAATGGTTGCACAAGGAAGGCGACATCAGGTTCAAGGGCATTAGGCTGACACCAAGTACAGCAAAACACACACCAGCTCTTGTGCACAGGCCAGTACATACAATTACCACAGGTATCAGTGATGCACTTGCCTGGGGCTTAGCTCGGGTTCAACGTGTACCGAATATGGGGTTTGTGGACTGAGCAAGGCTGCACCGTGGTCACAAACCCGCACAAGCCGCCAGCGACCCTTCCCGCCGGACGGACTGGGCACGCTGACACGGAGCGAAAGCCCGCACGCCCCAGAATGGATGAGTCATAGTTTACACTGTCCATCCACTTGTCTCCAGGAGCAGAGCATCGCTCCACAGTGAGCCCAGCACAGCGGGGCTCCGCCGCACAGCGAGCTCGGCTGCCGGCCGCGGGTACCGGGCTGAGCCGCGGCGCGGGGCCGCTCCCGCCGGGCAGGGCTGCGGCTCCGAGCGCGGTCCCCGCTCCGCCGCTCCCGCCAGGGGCTGGGGCGGGCCCGGGGACACGCCCGACAGCGCGGCCGCCCCGAGCTCACCTGCGCAGGCATCGCACCCCGCACCGCACCGCAGCTCACCCTCACCTCCCCTCACCTCACCTCCTTCCGGCGGCTGGGCGCGCCCGGGCGGGTGAGCAGCGCCGTCTCCTCGCAGACCACGGCCACATCCTCCACGAAGACGCAGTCGGGGAGGCTCTCGTCGGCCGGCAGCTCCAGCACCTGCAGCCCCAGCTTGCCCCGCAGCACACCCACGTACAGCTGATACTCCCTCTCCGCGCGGGCGAAGTCTACCTCGGGGCCCGCCACGCTGCGCAGCGCCTGCCGGCACAGCGACTCGGGCAGCGCCCGCACCACGGCGTGCGTGCAGCGCCCGAAGGCGGCGAGGCCGCCGCCCAGCCCGGCCATGCTGCGCGGCGGGGACGGCGGAGAGGGACGCGGGGGACGCGCGGCGGGGACGGCGGAGGGGGACGAGGGAACGGCGGAGAGGAACGAGAGACGCGCGGCCGCCGCCGGCGCTGGCAGCGCATAAAGCGCCGCCCGCGGCCCGGCCGCGCCCCATTGGCTCCCCACCAGGCACATTTCCATGGGGCCGCCGCCGCCGCGCCCCCATTGGCTGGCGGCGGCGGCCGGGCCGCGCCATTGGCCGCCCCCCGCGCGGCGCCGCTTACCTGTACGGGCGGGCCCGGCCGGCCGCGCGTGTGGCCTGAGGGCGGCGGGGCGGGGCGGCCGCGTTCCGCTAGATCTGGGCAGGGGCACGGCTGTGCTGAGAGCGCTCTATCCCCGCGTCCAGGCGCATTCTTACATTCGTTCCAGCTGGGGCGGGCAAGGGGAAGGTTGATGACCCTCGGGCTCGAGAGTGCCTTGGCTTGGCCACCTGCGAGCCCTTACCGCTGCCTTCTCCGTCCCTGGTGGCACAGCTGAAGACCAGGGGGTTCATGTGGGTGACCAAAGGAAGAATATCCCATGACAAGGGCAGTTCCAAATACAAATCCTCAGGAAATAAGCCCAGGCGGCTCTCATGTCATGGCTTTCTTCAGGGCACTCACCGGCAGAGCGTGTCCACCTGCTCCCACTCCTTCATACTGTTAAAGTTTCCACCTCTGTGTGCTTTCCACTGCTGCTGCGCTCCACCTCTGCCTCAGGGACTGAAACAATCAGGATTTCGCACACTTTTCCCTAAACAAGTGCTTCCCTCGGTTTCGTTTTCTCCAGTTTTACACTTACTGGACGTTATCCCGGAGGATGGCCAGCCCTCGCCAAAGCACATCTCTGTCTCTCAGGCAGCAAATGAGTCTTTGTGCCACACCTCGCGCCATAGGCAGCATCCACAGCACCAGTCCTCAGCCACACTGCTCCTGCTCCCGAGCCACCCAGGTACCTCCAAGGTTTGTCCTCACCAGAGCAGACAAGAAAAAAAGAAGGAAGATGAATTTTCCTTCCAGCTCTGCTTTTGCTGGCAAGACTTTTGCAAGTGTCCCTCTGGTCATGGAGGGGAGCCCGCTAGCACACAGCTCTGTGTTCCCGCTTCAGAGCTCAGACAAAACCCAGGCAGCTGCCTTGGTCACGCTGTCACAGATATCTGCAGATGTTCAGCATTTGGGACTATGGGTAATGAACAGCACGAAGGAAATACCAAAGTGCGTTTCTAAAATGGCAGCTCACTAGATTTTCATCTGCATTTTCCACAGAAATATTTTCCAAATATTCTGTAAAGACATAGGTGCAGTTATTTGAATAAGTGTCATTCACTGAATAATGTGCAAATATTACTTTGCTTAAAGAGATGGACAGATAATTGAGTTGCTATCATGTAGAACATTTCAAATTCTTGAAAAACCTCTACAAGTAGTATCATACTGTATCTGGTATAACATGTAATCCTTCCACCATTGTTAAAGCCTATTTGGACTTATTACGTATTTGGGATATAGCCATTGGCACAGTTTGGTTTTCTTTTAGTTAGCATCACTTTTAGCCAGAAGAAAAAGTGCTACTATCCAGTAATTTTAAAACTTGCCAGGGTTTCCTGCAGCCAATGGATTGGAAAGTTATAGTCAATACAGATGGTTTTGACATCCACAATCACTTTATGTATTTGTAAGTGGTGACAATTTTTAGATCTCACTGAAATTACAGGCTATGAGGTGATGCTACACTGTGATCTCATACATGTGACATGCTCCCTGGGACAGTGAGGCTTGCCCCAGAGGCACAGTCCCCAGTCCAGCTCAGGTGGCCCCAGCTGCTGTGTGGGAACTGGTCAGGTATCACTTCTGACAGCTCCTCAATACCTTTATGGGCAGCAAGGCTGGAGAATCTCTCTGTGAGACACAGTGCTATGAGACAGAGCATGCTAGGCACACAGTTGTGTGTTGGAAATATGTACCATAGCTGTTTAAACAAGGTTTCAGAACTAATGACTACAGTAAAAAAGTCATCTGTATTCCCATAAATGTATAAAACTGTGCAGTTTAAATACAAATTAAGATCTGTTTTCTGACTGTGATTATTGTTCTATTATTTATGGTGAATAGAAAGGCATCATTAACAATCTAGGAACAGATGCACCCAGAGCAATATGGTGCATATTTATAATAAGATTATCCAAATATCAGTTTACTCACAAATTAATGTTCAGTTTACTCACAAATTAATGTTACAAAATAGAATGTGTTCACATAGTCTTATGAGAGTGCTGTTAAAATTCATCATATGCAGTAATGCAAAATAGGTCAGCTACAGGCACCAACATATATTTAAATATTCTCTACCTTGTTGAATATCCAGTATTTTCCTGCAACTATGTCCTGCTGGAGAGACTAGTACAAAAGAACAAACCTTTACCTGGGTCACTGAAGGTCAGAGATGGCCACTGCTGTTGAACAGTTTGTGTGATCATGACAAAGGAGAATTTGGATCACTGCTGAATACAAATGCATACCACAAGGCAATTGCTCTGGCATGATAGGCAGCTGCAAAGTTGGAAAAGATGGAGAGACACTGAATTTCACTTTGAAAAGGAAGACAAGTTGCAGTGATTTCTTCAGCTCAATAGAAAACTGTGCAACCACTGCAAAGCCAAACATCATTATTAACACTGATCTGCTGGAAAAGCTCCCATTATGATCAATGAATCATGCTCTTAGAAGAGGTACATGACCAGGTCTCACTCACAGCCATAGAAGAGAAAAATGTTACTTTAATCATGCCTTAGATACACTAGCAGCAACTCAGAGGGGTTTTCACCCAGATAGTTGTCAGAAGTTTTCTCTTTCTGATCTTCTACTGTAAAAACCCACAGTGACTCAGTGATTCAGTACTTCTACTAAATAATTAAGTATAATCATTAAGAGATAATAATCATTTAGAGAAGCTGAACAAGGCACTTCACCCCACTGCACGGACAAGCTCCCAAGTGCTTTTACATTTTCCAAATGCTGAACAGATTTGTTTGCCATCTCTTGTTTACAGAACAGATACTTCTGGAAGAAGAGACCATTTATGCTATCCAGAACTTCTTCTGGATGGCATCAATCAAGAGTGCATCTGCCAGCCTGTAGAGAAAACCTGTTGGGGAGCAGCATTTTCCCTTGCCTGAGTTGAACCCGTGCAATCTCAGTGTATTACTAGGGTCAGAAAAATTCTATATATAGCTGGTTCAGGGGAAACACAATATTTATTTTGTCTGCTGTGGGATAATGATCTGGGTGTTTCCTCAGCTGGCATTTTGCATCCTGCAGAGAAGGAGGAATTCCCATGAACTGACAGCTACGCAGTTGTTGGGAGACAAAGCAGTCAGAGGGCGATTCTTTGCAAGTCAGCTTTGGCAGCATTGTTGCTGTGACAGGGCACCAAGCAGCCTGGACAGCATGCAGAGGCACAGGGCATTCCTCACATTTGTAGTCTTCCCACGTGTTGTGTTACAATAGATTGCAGTTATTGTGCACAACCAGAATCAACTTCTGGATTTTCTTGGCTGAGCAAACAGATCACTGAGGCAAGAACTGCAGGATTCTGACTGTTTACCTTCTGTGCTCCTATCTCCTCACCTTCACCATGCCTTATGACCACTTTTACCTTTCTTTCTATGCAGGAGAAAAGTCACTCTTTGAATTAAAAAAAAAAAAGGAGAGGTTAGGGTATCACAAGTATGAGATGAAAAAATTAGAAAAGTAGTCTGTGGAAATTTATACTGAATTACATAAGTTAACATATCTCTTATAGAAAATGATAGAAATGGACAGATCTGATGGACAGACTTCCCAGAAATATGCCAGAAATGCTACTTCAGCTAAGAGAAGGAGGAGACAGAGCTAGGACAAGTGCCTTGCAAATGGTTCCTGTTATGACTGCAACATAATATTTCTGCTATCAACAGCATTTTTAATAAAGTATGCTATTCTATAAGCTTGGCAAGAAAGCATCAGCTCTAGCAGAAGGAGAAATGGTTCATGCCACTCATGCAGCTACTGTTCAGTGGGTCTCATGAATCCAAAGCCAGCTGCTGTGAAGTGCTGTAGGTGCCCACTGTGGGGCTTCCTGAGGGAAGGGTGGGATATTGAGTAGCTGTATGAAAATGTTGGTGCCTAATGATGCCATTTGCATGTTGCTAAATCACTGCTGCTAAACTGGGCTGCACTGATACAAGAGGAAAAATGCATATGCTGTGTTCTTGTCTTCCCTTCATATCAACCACCAAAACTATGTCTCCATCGCCTAAAAAAGCAAATGCTTAAAAATGCTGATGGATGCAAGTTAATAATTTTGAAAGGATCCAAGCCCTTGGCAATGTAACTTGAATTACCCTTTAATGTTTATCCTAAGACTCCACTTGCCTGTTGTAGAGCCAGTTGACCAGCTGGCAGCACCCTGCAGGTGGGGCAGGCTGTCCTTCCCTCGCGTTGCCTGAAAAGCCCTCGCAAGCTCAGCAGGAAGAGGCAGTGACATTTGGCTGTAGCGTCTTTTACTTTTCATGGTTTGCATTTCTCATTCCTTCTAGCAGCCAGCTGCCTGAAAATTAATTCACAGCCTTTCTTTTCAGTTAGGCATCTTTTGCCTTGATTTATAAAAGCTTTGTACATTTTTTGTGTTGACTTGGTCAATAACTTGCCAATGCAACTATGAAGCTTTAAATTTACATGAAACTTGTTAAAGTGGAATTAGCTTTTATAGCTAATCAAATAACCAGCTGAAATAGAGTGGAAGAATGGTGCAGTTGAGGTGCAGTTCAGAAAGGGGCAAAACTACTCCCAACAATGTCACTGGCAAATAGTGCCACAACACATGACAGAGATTGGGGGCAGCACAGAGGACACTGCCTTCAGCAGATAAACCTGTACCCTTGATGGACCTAATGTTTAATTCTGAGGGGTTGCTGAGCTGAAGCATCTATGGGCTTTGAAGTC